AAAAAGGTCAGAGGTTCAAACCTCTGAGCCACTCCATGGGAGAAACATGTGGCAGTCTGCTTCTGTAAAGATTTAGAGTCTTGGAAACCGTGTGGGGCAGTTCAGCTCTGTTCTATAGGGTTGCTGTGAGTTGCTATCAACTTGGTGGCAATGAGTTTGGTTTTGGGTTTTTTAAAGCCATTTTTAGGAGTCCCTGGGTGTGCAGCCACGACTCATCTGTTAGTTTGTTGTGTGGTGGGGGCTTGTGTGGTTGCTGTGCTGGAAGCTATGCCATTGGTATTGCATGTACCACTGGGTGTCATCCATGGTTCAGTGGAGCTTCCAGACTCAGACAGACTAGGAGGAGGGACAGTTGGCCAGAGAAAACCTTATGAAACAGATGCAAACAGTTAGTATACTTGGCTGCTAACCCAAAGTGTAAGTCTACTCAGAAGTGCCTTGGTCATCTACTTCTGAAAAATCAGCCATTGGTGAGACCCCCGAGGTATGACCCCTAGGTGCCCTTCAGGTCTGGAACTGAACTCACTCCTGTGGCTTCCAGCCACACAGTAGACAGGCATATGGGGTGAACATTGACATCAGGTAGATACACTCCTTGGAGCGATCAATCATGGGAGAACAGAAGGGCAATAAACATACAAAATGCTCTGAAATTGGGAGGTGGTGAATATACGAATATCACTGAATTACACACACTTAAAGGGAGACAGCTCATGGGCTGGAGTGCATGGGAGGGAAGGACACAGGGAAGAGGTAACTATGAGGAGGAAGTAGGAAGAGAGCTGTTACATTGTGGGAAATTGCAGTCAATGTTATGAAACAATGTGTATGAACTGCTGTGTGGAAAATGAATTTGCTCTGTCCTCTTTCACCCAAATCACAATAAAAATTAAAAAAAAAAACAAAAATGAGCCATTGAAAACTTGAAGGACACACACAGGGTCACCATGAGTTAGAATCAACTTGACAACTAGTGTCTGATTTAAAAGCTGAGGGGAAGAAAGTGCCTGGTTCCTTTTAACCTTCTCAACACACAGAGAATTAGCATTTTTTAAGATGATTACCAATCATCATTTTAACTTAAATTTTCCTATTAGTGAAGTCAAATGTCTTTCACGTGTATATTGATTATTTGTAACTCTTCTGTGAATAGATTTTTATTATATACTTTCCCATTTTTTATTAACTTGTGGGAGTTCTTTGTAAACCAGTAATATTGATTAAGTCTTTGTTATCTGTTTCAAATATTTTATTTCACTCTATCATGGTATGTTTGTGGTATCCTGTGATGTGAAAGTCATGGTTTTTGGGTTCTGTTTTTCAATCTAGTCAGTGTGTCCATTTTTTCCCTTTATGGCTTCTGGATTTTGTATCCTGCTTAGGAAGCCTACCGACCATGTTATAAAAATATTTTGTAGTTCTTCAGACACTAGTGTCCATTTTGGAAATTGACTTTAGTTCATCTGAGATTTATTTTTATGTAGGGTACGATGGAGGAACACAACTTCATTTTCTTCCAAACAGAAGAAAATCTATGATAGCCTATATCATAGATGGCCTATAGGCCCCAGTAAGGAATTTAAATTTTATTGTGCGGTAGGAAACCATAGGGTTCTGAGCAGGCAGTGGTTTGATCTTTTAAACCATTTTCATAAGGTTATTCTGACAGCTTTGTGGAGAATTGAGGGATGGGGCAGAAGTAGGTGAGAGAGTCTCGTATTCCATTTATCTGAATCTGTTCTGAGTCGTATGCTTTTCTTTTCCAGTCATCTGTTTGTCTATTCCTGTGTCAGTGCTATAGAAACTTTTTTTTTTTTTTTTTTTTGGTAACAGCTTTATTGAGTTAACACTTACCATACATAGTACCTGAGGCATTTGACTGCTAACCAGAAGGCTGGGGTTCAAACCCTCCAGCCACTTCCTGGAAGAAAGACTGGGCAATCTACTTCCATAGAGATACCACTTTGGAAACCCTAAGAGGGGTCTCTATGAGTGGGATCCAACTTGATGGCAGTGCGTTTGGTGGATTTGGATATTTTATATCAATGAAATAGATTCTTTGTGACTGACTTTTCATGAAGCATAATGTTTTCAGGGTTCATCCATGTTGTAGCATGTATCAGAACTTGATTCCTTTTTATGGCCAAGTAACAGTCCATTGTTTGTGTATACCACTTTGGGTTAATCTGTTTATTAGATGATGGACACTTGATTGTGCCATCTTTTGACTACCCTGAATAATGCTGCTGTGAACATTTTGGGACAAGTTCTTGTGCGGACATGCATTTTTGTTTCTCTTGCGTGCATAGCTGGGAGTGGAATTGCTAGGTCAAGTTTTCAGGAGCTGCCAGTCTGTTTTCCACGGTGGATACAGGAGTTTACATTTCCGCTGGCAGTGTGTGAGTGCTCCAGTTAGTTTCCTGACATCTCTGCCAACATTTGTTATTATCTGCCATACAATTTCCTTTAAGGTATCTGTCTGTAGAATAATTTTCAGTTATCATTCATACACACACAAGGAGCTTCGGTGGTATAGTGGTTAAGGAATTTGGCTACTAACCAAACGGTTGGTGGTTTGAACCCACCAGTTGCTCTGCAGAAGAAAGATGGGGCAGTCTGCTTCCGTAGAGATAAATAGCCTTGGAATCCCAGCAGGGGTCCCTATGAGATGGAATTGGCTTGATGGCAGTGAGTCAGTTTATGCGCACATGCACACACACACACACACCCCTGTATGAGCCCTGTTGGCACAATTATTACAGCACTTAGCTGTTAATCAACAGGTTGGCAGATGGAACCTACCAACTGCTCTGCAGCAGAAAGATGTGGCAGTCTGCTTCCATAAGAATTTAAGCCTTGGAAAGCTCATGCGGTAGTTCTACTCTATGCTGTAGAGTCAGAGTCAACTCGACGACAGCAGGTTTGGGTTTTGGTCTCTCTGTATGAATTGTTAAATATATATACGTGTGTGTATATATGTCTATATATTTAACAGTTTATCTGAATCATGATTCATAATAAAGTTTACACTATAGTTGGTTGATAGTCTTTTAAGTGCCTTTGAATCTATACAGTTCCTTCTCCCTATCTTTTCCTCTCTTTATTATTTATTTCTTGAAGAAACCAGGTCATTTTTTTGCCCTCACAGTCTGGATTTTACTGATTGCACTCCTGTAATTGTCTTTCAGCATGTTCATCCGTCTTCCGTATTTCCTGTAAGTTGGTATTGGTGTATTTTAACATGCTGCTGGATTCATCTTGCTAATATTTTATTTACAATATATGTGTATGTATTACAAGATGAAATTAGTTTTGATTTTGTATGTGTTCTCTTAGGTTTTGATATTAGGGTAATGCTAAATGATTGATAAGCCTTCTATTTTTATATGTTCTGGAGTAATTTCTTTGACTTTGGAAGGTTGTTAAATATCCACCACTAGTATCTGTTGAGGCACCTTGGTGGTGTGGTGGTTAAGCGCTGCGCTGCTAACCAAAAGGTTGACAGTTTGAACCCACTAACAGCTCCGTGAGAGAGAAGACCTAGTGATCTGCTCTGGGAAAGATGTCAGCCTGGGAAATCCTGTGGGGCGGTTCCACCCTGTCCTGTGTGTGGTTGCTAAGAGTTGGAATCAACTCAATGTACAAAACAAAAAGTGGCAAATTTTATGGGAACTATGTCTAATTTTCAACAACAGGTGGCTTTAAGTTTGTTTTATTGAAATAAGAGAATCCTGATATGAAAACCTGGTAAGAGTGGCATAGGCTAACAAATTGTAGGTAAAAATCCAAAATACAACCAGCAGAATGCAACATGATGAAGCTGAAGTATTACTGCTTAAATATTGCTCCAAACCATCTACTTTTTCATCTCCACTGCCACTACCCTAATTCACGTCACCATCATTGCTGCCTCCAGTGTGTTCCCCTCAGCTTTCTTGTTCTTATTACAATGCTTTTTAATTTTTTCGTTGCAGTTCTCTTTAAAATGTAAATAATATGATATTCTCCGTTAAGTACGTATTGAGCGACTGCTGTGGACCAGTTGCTATAGTAAGATTGGAGCATTCCTGCCCTCAGTGAAACTATAGTCTAGTAGGAGAAAAAGATAATAACCACATAACATATTAAAACAGGCAGAAGTGTTCTGAAGGAGAGAAATCGTGGCTGTCAGAGATAATCTAAGAGAAACTTGATCTGTACTAAAGATGAAAGAAGCATCTCTTGAAGAAGTGATGTTTGAGATGAGTGCTGAACAAATAACTATTCATTGGTGGCAGAATGAGAGGAAAGCATCACAGGCAAAGACTAGCATGGACAGAGGCCTTGTGGCAGGAGAGAGACTACCATATACCAGGCACTGAGAGCAAACAGGGCAGCTAGGGAGCAGAGAGCCATGGTGAGTGTGTGAGATGAGCTGGGGGGAGAGGTTCGCAAGGCCAGACGACTCAGAGCCTTGTAGACCATGGCAGGTTTTCATATTTGGCCTGAGGTCATTAGGAAGAGAGAGGCCAAAGACTACAAGTTCTTAAAGATAGGTAATGATTACACGTCTTAAAAAATAACGTATCTACTGTCATAATTGGTTTTCACAGGAAAAAGTAATTGTTTAGATAAGGAAGGATACATTTCTGAAAACAGATCATCTCTTTGTGGCCACATATTCTTGTATTGAATCTAAATTCTTATCATGTCAGTTGCTCCTTGCAGATACAGGATGGAGGAAGGATGCTGCATTTTAATTAAGGGACTAGATGGGGAATGAAAACCCTGCGATCATAAAAAGCCTTGATAATGATGCAGTGAAAGATTAAGGGAAATATTTGTGTAGGAATTGATGGCATGTATTTCTCAAGTTATTCAGTGGTGAAAACAGTTGAGAAAGGGGAATAGTTTTATCAAAATGATAGTTGAGGGAGAGCTTTTTAATAGCTTATTTGACTGAAGGGCTTCTGAGTTTATTTTTTTTATTCTAACTTGTTTTTATTTGTTTGCCTTTGTAGGAGAGTAGTTATTTTGATGGAATTAGACGTTTTGAAATCAGCTGAAGCAGTTGGATTAAAGATCGGCAACCCAGTGCCATATAACGAAGGTAAATGCTTTTATAGATGGTAGTGTTCAGTTGAATACTTTGTAGAGATTTGGAATTCTACCTTTTAGTTAGTATTCAGTTGATTTGTTAAAAACAATAATGATATTAGTGGTGGAATATTTTGGAGAAGGATAGCAGTCATGGAGGCACAGCATGGAAAATGTCATCAGTGTCCCTGAGGTGTAAATGTGGAAGTTTTTGTGTTGGTGAATGTCTTAAGTGTGTATGTTTTCACCACGATAAAAGTAAAATTAAATGATAAAAGTAAAATTAAATAATAACAGTAATTTGGGGGGGCTAGAAACTACGTGATTTGCCAATTTTTTTGTGCTAATGACATCATGTTAGGGCTTATATGAAGAAAATGGGAAAAATTAGAGAATATTATGGGAAAAAAATCCCAATTTTTGGGAAAAAAATAAGTGTCTTGGAATAATATTAGTGAGAAATGTGCTTTCTTAAGGTTTGTTTTTTAAAAGTGTAAAGCTTGTAGTTTATACTCCTTCGATAACACTCACCGCACTGATAGTTCTCAGAATAGTCTATTTGCTAGACCATGAGTGAACTGGGTGAAGTAGACTCTGTATTGGTTTATGTTGTATCCCCAGTGTCTAACTTGTAGTTGGCTCTCAATAAGTATTGTCAGTGTTCTGATTACCTAGTGCTCTGACAAGAATATACCACAAATGGGATGGCCTTAACAAACAGGAGTCTCTTACAGTTTGGAGGCTTTAAGTCCAAGTTCAAAGTGCCAGGCTCTAGAGGCTGGATAAAAGCCCCTCAACCTTGGGCTTCAGCTCTGCCTCCTGTTCCTGGCCCACTGAAGCTAGAGGCGTTTCTTCACTCAGACAGCTGCTGGCTGATGAGCTGCCAAGCTCAAAGTTGACAAGTAAAAAGGCACAGTCCCGATGTTACCAAACCACATGGCAGGCCATTAACTTAGGTCCATTGTAAGTCCCAAGGTCGGCAGAGCATGGCAGGCTGCTGAACAATGACTTGGCTACATGCAGGGTCCAAGCGTGCCATATGCTAGAGACCATTCTTCAAGGCTTCTCCTTATATACAGGAAGCAGACCACATCCCAAAGGCAGCTACTCAGCTGCTTGTGGTAGATCCCACCATGGAGTTGATTGCCGTCTCATCCTGGGTAATAACTACCACCAACTGCCCAGCCATTCACCCAGGCCCAGCCAAGTTGATGTACAGATTTAACTACCATGGTTGGTTTGAATTGACTGTATACCTACTCCTTATTATCTTATTATCCAACATTTCACATTTATGACAATAGTAAAACATTAACTGCTCAGCTGTTTTGAGCATTAATGACATATGTCTGGAATTAACAAATGCCAAGGTGTGTGGCAAAAATAACACTGGCTGTGATGGTTAAGATTATGTGTCAACTTGGCTAGGCCACAATACTCAGTGGTTTAGCAGTTACATAATGATGTAGTCATCCTGCATTTTTGTACAACTCTGATTTTTATTTAACAGCCTGGTCGTTGGAACCTAACCGTGTTGATAAGTGAGGCACAGGTTTATAACATATTATTTAACAGTATTATCTCTTGGTGGTGAAATTACTAATGACTTATACTTCCTTTAGAGATATATAGAAAAGCACAATGAAATCAGTAAAAAAATTCATTACTTTTATTTAAAAAAAAAAAAAAAACTCACTGCCATTGAATTGATTCTGACTTACAGTGACCTTCCTTGGGTTTCCAAGGCTATAAATCTTTATGGAAATAGATTGCCCTATCTTCCTTCTACAGAGTAGCTGGTGAGTTTGAACCGCTGACCTTCTGGTTAACAGCCAAATGCCTTATCCACTATGCCACCAGAACTCCTTTCCTTTTTTAAAAAAATTTTTATTGTGATTTGGGTGAAAGTGTACAAAGCAAATTCATTTTCCATACAGCAGTTCACATACATTTTGTCTCATGACATTGACTGCAATTACTCACAGTGTAACAGCCCTCTTCTACTTCCTCCCTGTAGTTACCTCTTCCCTGTGTCCTTCTCTACCATGCACTCCTGCCCCCCTGAGCTGTCACCCTGTGCAAACACTGCCCTTCTGTCCTCCCACGACTGATCGCTCCAAGGAGTGTATCTGCCTGATGTAAATGTTCACCCCGTATGCCTGTGTGTTGTTTGGCTGGAAGCCACAGGAGTGAGTTCAATTCTAGACCTAAAGGATGGCTGGGGGCCATAGTCTCAGGGGTCTCAGCAGTCTCTGTCAGTCCAGCCAACCTGGTCTTTTTGTATGATTTTGAGTTTTGTTCCACATTGTTCTCCCCTATCCAGGACCTCTTGCCCTGACACGCTCCTTTACTTTTGATAAGAGAGAGAGTAATTCTTCTAGCGAAAGGCAGAGTCATTATCGAATCACTAGGCCTGTAACAGGAAAAGGTTTGTCTGCCTCTCCACTGAGTCAAATAAAAACAAAACTAGAGCCTTACTTTATACCAGATTTTCTTTTGAAGTTGTAAAATAAAACCATCAAAAATAATAAAAATAAATAGAAAAGGGCTGCCTAAATGGATTAAAAGAATTCACAATGAATATTTGGCTGCGTTAAACTAAATGCCTTGCTCTCCCCATACTCTCTCATCCCAGATCTCATCTCAGAGGTTCCTTCTGGTCTGTTCCCTGGGTTGCCAACCTGGCAACTCTCAAGTTAGTAATCTGATGTAACCATACTTACCTTGTTTATTTCCTGTGTATCAGGATCACTGTCCTTCATTGCTTGATATCCAGTGGCTTGAAACCTATTTGTTTCATATCTTGTCTGGGTTTTTTTTTTTTGTTTTAGCCAGTAGAGTTAATCTGGTCTCTGTTACTCCATCCTAGCTTTACAAGTCAAATAGCTTTGCAAGGTGTAGACTTTGAAGCAAACAAAATCGCATTCCCCTTCATACTCTTTTTGGCCCTTATTCCTGTCTACAGGCAATCTGTTTTAATTCTTACAGCTATTGCTGCAGTTTTTATCTTCATATTTCTAAGTAAAACCTTTATGCTGCTCTTTCTTGATTTTTCAGTTTTGACATTTATTTATTGATTTAAGATTATGGAAGATTAGAATTTAGCTCATCTACAATTCTTTTCTCCCTATGTCCCAGATCGGAGAATTAGATGTCAATATCAGATGAGATCATGATTAAATGATTAGTCAGCAATTTTTTCTCCAGTAAAAGATACATTTCTCTTTTGTTCTTAACACACGTAGACAGCTCTAACTATATTTTCAAATGGTTTTTATATTTTCAGATTGATTTCCTAATCATCAGAAAGATTTATAATTTTACTTTGTATTTATCATAGCTAATTTTTATACTAAATCTAAAGTCATTAACAGATGATGGTCAATCATGAATATTTAGAAAATTTTTCTGCTACAATTTGTGGGAAAGACACACGTTTAAAGAAATTGGACACGTAGCTTATATTAGCTATTTTAACTAGAAGTGTGACATTTTGAAAACTAAAATAGACTTTCAGCTAGTAAATATAAAGATGCTGAAGGATATGTATGTGAATTATATATATATATATTTTTTTTTTTTAATTAGGATTTGGGTGAAGATTTACAGAGTAAATTCACTTTTCATACAGCAGTTCACATATACTTTGTCTCATGTCATTGACCA